TATCTTTATTCAAATTAGCTTGATACACGGTAAAATTTGAATAACAGTATGGTATTTTTGCATTTGTGTGTTTCAGCAGAATTAATTTCGTAATGTGTTTTTTTTTTCAGAATTAAACAGTGAACAGAGAAATGACTTTTACATAAGAAGGTTCCATGATTCAACACCCTCGTCTCTAAATCAGGGTAATAGTCCCTATCAGACTATGCACGGTGTGAAAATGGGTGTTTTACCAGCAGGCAACAGAAAAATAATAATTAAAAAAAAGACCCAAGAAACAAAAAACAAACCTCAAAGCAAAACCAAACCAACAGTTTGGTTAAAAGTTAGGGGAATACAAAAAAAATTGAAAACTTTTCCTAATGTTCATATAGATAGATAGATAGATAGATAGATAGATAGATAGATAGATATACACACATACGTATATATGTATATGCATAAAAAATCTTAAATCAAAATTTCTGACTTTTCGTACTAGTGCATATCATAAGATGTCTTAGACACAAAAACGTGCACACAAGACCTGTTAATTCCCTAATATCTTCATGTGTGCAATATATATATGATCATTACAGGAATCCCATGCCAAAACTCCTTGCTTGGAAACTTCAGAAGTTTCTGCTTTTCCAATTATCACTGTTACCATACATATATTTGCATAAATTGTGGGATTCTGAAGTACCTATAAAGCAACTTCATTGCTTATTTCTACACTAAATATATTAAAATTTTATATAGAGTTGTCTTACTGATAATTGGTCTCTGCTGTGTTTCTCTTGACTCTTAAACTAAAACATTTGTTTGTCTAAATGATTTCATGTGCCAAGTGTAATTACTTCTAGAGCAGGTCATCTGTGTCTTGAGAAAGTTTATTTCTTCAAAACACGGAGATGAAATTACATTGCACCGTTGAACCTGACTTATTAAAGAGAAATAGGCCAGAGGACAGCTACTTGATGCAAGATGTGTTCTACTTTTTGGACGTCAAAGTGTGTGAAGCTGGCAAAACGTTGGTTGTCCTGCTCTGTTGTCAAACAGCAAATAAAGGTATTGTTAATGTGAGAAAGCAAGTTATTCACAATTTGAAATTACTCTGTTGTCAGCTTCCCCATATAATTATGTAGCCCTAGAAACTGGAAAAAAGAAAAAGTAATCAAAACATTTACACAGAATTGGAACTGTGGATTACTGGGAAAAAAAGTTTTATCAGCAAGGATACGGCTGAAGGATTTTAGAGACTTTATTTTGCCTCAAGCCAGGCCTTGGGTACACTAACAAAAATGAACCTCAAACTGCAAGAAAACATAACAAGAAAAACATTTTTGTTATCATACTTCCATATCTCTATTATTCAGTAGATATTCTAAGTAATTCATCCATTTGCATAGTTGCTAAAGAGTCCCATGTCTTCTCTAACCTGCACATTTGTCAAACTCCACAGAGGAGGATGTAAAACTTTATATATAGTTCCCTATATTTAAACCTAAATAGTGTAAGGAAAATAGAAAAGTTTATCCATTTTGGTTACAAAAACATACGCTACATGAACAACAAGATCAAACTGCTGCTCAGAAGCTGTGCCTGTGGCTATCAGTGAGACCTGCACATACATAAAATCTGCACAAATAGATTCCTTTTTGCAAATACAGATAGTTTACATTCTTACAATTATTATGGTATCTGATTACCTTACCTTCGAAATTATTTTCATTTCTAAGGATGTGAAAATCTTCTGTCCATTTGGTCTATTTATTTTCTATAAACAAGACCTGCTTTCAGAGTTCCTGGGTGGATGTCAACTGCAGTACAACACAGAGTAACCCGTTTACCTGTGCCTACCTTGGAAAAATGCACTGATTTATTTTGCTTTCGTTTCCCTTGGTAAATTAGCACTTGGAATGCTTTTGTTCGAGACATCGTTGACTTTAAAAAATTATAATTACAACTAGAGCCTGAAAAGACTTCTTATGAAAATATATATTGCTGTTGATTTTTTAAGTGAACATTTTTTGATTTGGAGATCTGAATTTGCTTAAACTTTTTTTGTAAAATGTAACACAAAGTTTAGTTATATCAATTCTATGGCCATGTTGACATACCAAGAGGAGCTGATGTCAGACTCCTACAAACCTCTTCCTGCAGCCATCAAAACCTGAAAATTCTAATCTACTAAGCAAACAGAAGTTAGAAAATGCTTGGGATATGAATATACAGAGTATATACAATTAAAATATAAAATATTTATTTTAATATTGAATCTCTAGAAATTCATAGAATCATAGAACAACCATATTCATTGGAAAAGACCTCCAAGATCATTAAGTTCAACTTTCAACCAAATATCACCATGCTTAGTAAATAATATCCCAAAATGCCATGTCTATTCATTTTTAAACACTTCCAAGGTTGGTGACACCACCACTTCCCTAAGCAACCTGTTCCAATGCTTAATCGGCCTTGCAGTGACATTTTTCCAAATATCCAACCGAGCCTCCCTTGGCACAACCTAAGGCCATTTCCCCTTGTCCTGTCAGTGGTTGCCTGGAAGAAGAGGTTGACACTCACACGTCACCACAAATTCCTTTCAGGAAGTTGTAGAGAGTGATAAAGTCTCCCCTGAACAACCTCAGCTCCCTCAGCCTCTCCTCAGAGGATTTACATTCCCGATCCTTCACCAACTTAGTTGCCCTTTCTCTGGGGTGGCATTTTTTTGTTCCCAGAACCTTCCTAACTTTGTCAGCAGTATTTTAGTTAAGAAAGTTGAAAACGACTACTTTGATCCCAGTGGTTAGAAAAAATTTACTTCTTTTGCTGAAATAAATAAGTCACAACATTCATACATTTCAGAGTGGCTCGTTAGGAAAAGGTCAAGGCGTATCCGGAACCTCCAGGACTTGGCTAGGTTTCCACAGATTCGCTGAATTTCAGTGGATGTCTACTCCATTACCTTGCTTGCATGTAAATTTTTGAACACATGTAAGCTTCATTATTCACAAAGATATAAAGTGGATGGCAAAGATATAAACTGCATTCTGATTTATTTTGAACCTGCCTTCTTGCCAGTTTTACCTTTCATGCATTGCAAGAGCAGTTGCACATCTTGTACACATTCACTGTGCCATTCTGGAGCTGACAGACCTTTCCCATACCTTACTCATCCTCATCTCTTTTTTTTTTTTTTTTTTTTTTTTTTCCCCTCAAATAAAGATTCCTGCCTTATTGCACCACTTGTTATATGGAAGACATTCCATACTTACAATCATGCCTTCTGCCTTTCTCTGAATCTTTCCATTTCAACCAGAATTTCCAATCTCTCTGAGGCATGAGAAGCAGAACTACATGTCGTATTTAAATACAGGCAAAGGGTAGATTTATGCAAGAACAAACAATATTGTTGTGTTTCCCATTCCTTTCCAAATAATTCTTAAAAACACTTTCCTTTTTCAACTGATAATGGAGACTGAACTGTCATTTTCATCAAATTACCTATTACTACACTGACTATATTACTGTTCACACATACAACTTTGCACGTAAAGATATTTTTTCTCCATATAAAATTTTTTAACAGTAATTTACAATTAAATTTATCTGCCGCTTTGAACCCATTCACTCAGTCTGGTAAGAGTTTTATACATTTCTAAGATCAGCTTTCACCTTTAAAACTGTGAATAATTCAGCATTGTTAGCGGGATTTCTCATCCTCCTGCTCACTCTCTTTTCCAGCTCACTTATAAGTATGTTGAATGCCACAGTCCCAGCAGAGATCCTTCCACTTTTTTCACTATATCTAGCCTTTTAGAAAACCAATACTTTATTTCTAACCTGTTTACTGCCTCTTAACCAATTACTGATTCACCATTTTGCGTTTCATATTCCACATTCTAAGAAACTATCAGTTTCCTTAGAAACTTATGGGGAGACCTTGTCAAAAGCCATTGGCAATCTAGGCAGGCTCTACCAACAACATCATATTTGTTGATCCCTTCAGAGAGATTCAACAAGTTTACAAGACAGGGAGGGCATTGTTAAAGAAAAGCCATATTAATTTTTCCCAGGAAGATATTACACATTCAGGAGTCACACAATTCAATACTTACCTTAATTTCCTATTTTTTGGCAATACACAGCTAGAGCTTTCTAACATGTTAAACCATTTTAAGATAAATTATATCCCATTTGCTATTCCCTAATCACCAGTTAAGAAGACCCTTCCTGAAAAGCAATATTCTGACACGGGATCTACTCCAGTTCCTTCCATAACTTCATTCATCCACAGTGAAGCAAAAGTGGAAGTTAATGGACAGTTTGTGGCTCCTGGTACTTATTTTAATGAACTTCTTCTTTTTCTGTTTCTATTTTTAAGCAATATTGCAACTTGTTTACTTCTGATTTTTAAAACCTACCGAGTGATTTGGAAGCAAATCAGTTATAAATTCAGTTACTTTGCAGAAATTATTTCTTGCACTCAAAACTCCATAATAGCCAAGCTGACAAGGAGCCAACAGGAAGCAGCTTAATTCTAGAAATACAATCTCTACTCCCAAGATTAACTTGCCATTAAAATTTTTTAAACAGCACACCAACAAAAACGTATTTCTACCTTTTTTTTTAATCCAGAAATTAAGGCTAAGATGTAATAACATTTTTTTCCCTGAAACAAAAGTATCAGAAAGGTGACGGTATTATATCCTAGACTAGATGACTAATCTGTTTTCATGGGCTCATGAGAACACTGAAGAGTTTTTTGCCATTCTGGAACTTGACTACAAGTCTCTCACTCATCTTCTTGACAAACAAGGAAGTCTCAAACAGTTTTAATTGACTCAGAGATGTTAAGCTTCAATTTTCCACGTGCCACTCACCTCTAAACTGTCTCTCTCTTTAAATGCCAGTCTTCTGGGAGAACACGACGTGCCTGTGCTGTTTGCCGTGTCACTGACTGCTAAACAGACGTTTGGGTGGTCACAGTTTGGGAATGGAGGATGAGGACTTACCTGCTTCTTTGGCAACATCTGCAGTTGAAATGTTTTGGAGGTTTGAGTGCACTCTGAAGGTCACAGCTGGTCCCAGCACGCTGAAAGAGATTATTAAAAAAATGTAAGATTCATAATCAAGAGACATGGCATAATATTCCTTATCAAAATAGGTTTTTAAAGAGAACCTATTAAGACACCATTTAGCTCTCTTCCTTTTGCTTCATTAGCTACATTTGCATACATTTTTGTACCTCTTGTGGTTTCTTCTGTGTATCTTAAGCCTCTCTGAAAGAATTTCAACAACATTAACTAAACTTCACTCTGTAAATAGTATTCTTATTAAGAAGGTGGCAAAATTGAGGAACTGAAATCATTATTCACAGCATAGACCATCACCGGAATTTCATCATCCAAAGATTACAGGTAGTTTCACATTTTATTTGCTTAAGATCAACACAAGCTTATTCCTGTTGTCATAACTGCAAGTCAGAGGGACAATATAGAAGCTTGGAATATTTGTCTTAATCATGTTCTGCAAGAATACATGAGGGGAAGAGATTTTGAACATATCTGATCCAAGAGCTGGTTTTGATCAAAAAGATACCACAGAGGGAGTTGGGTTGTTTAGCCTGGAGAACAGAAGGCTCAGGGGAGAGAGAGGAGCCTCATCACTCTCTACAACTCCCTGAGAGGAGGTTGTAGCCAGGTGGGGTTGGTCTCTTCTCCCAGGAAACTATCAGTATGACAAGAGGGAATGGTCTCAAGCTCTGCCAGGGAAGTTTAGGTTGGATGTTAGGAAGAAATTCTTTACAGAGAGGGTAATCAGGCATTGGAATGGGCTGTCCAGGGATTGGTGGATTCTCCATCCCTGGAGGTATTTAAGATGAGACTGGATGTGGCACTGAGTGCCATGGTCTGTTAACTGTGGGGGTAGTGGATCAAGACCTTTACAGAGGAAGGTATTGGTTAGCTAGAGGTAGACAGGCAGACTAAAGTACTCAGGGTTTCACAAAAAAATGACATTGTCCACTTGTAAAGAAAAATAAATCCATATAAGTAATGTTGCATTCGTTCTCCATCCACCCCAATAAATATACAAATCACATGCACATCTAATGAATGAAGACATTTCAATTCTGATATCCTGAAAACTACATTAAAATACTTAGGTATGAAAACATAAAATATACATATAAACATATAGTAAATATACTTCTGAAAAAAAATTCTGGGTAACAAGAGACTATAGAAATATTAATGTAAGAATTTAAAGAGCAGAAGAGTGTATCTGCTCAAGAAAAAACAAAAAAAGGCCCTATTTCATAAAAGTTTACTTACATATTATGTATTATGCATTATGCAAGTTTCTAAGCTTTTATTATTCATATTATCAGTGAAAAGAATTACATTTATACTATGAAGAAAAGCCCTACTTATAAGGTGAAGTACATTGGCTGGACCTGTACATTAACATATTTTGACCTTCTATAGCTGTGGCTTATGAGAGAATGAAATTTGAAAAATTGCTGCATAAAAGAAATAAATTGAAATATATTTTTGTTGCAGGGCTTGAAATGAAGTATTAAATTATTTTTTTAGTAACACGTTCATCTTCTGCATTCATAAAATAGAGAGCACTTAATGAAGTGTGCTTAATTGCATCACATATATCCTAGACAGAAATACCTCTAAATTTTTTCCATTTCAGGCACAAAACCCCTCTATTATTAACCATAAGACTTTGCTTTGAGGTCACAAAGGGAATCAGAATAAGAATAAGAAATATTCTTTTAATCTTTTAGTAGCAAAGCAGGCATTGTGCACATTTTATTCTGCAGTTAACAGGAACTGCCACTAATCAATCATTTTGCTCCAAATACTCTTTGAGGAAGAGAAGAAAAAGAAAATAGACATTTTATTGCTAAAGGACACTCCAGATACCTGGTCACTAATGGCCAAGAAACACTTTTAATAATGTTAGGTAATTATAAAACATTTCTCAACATCATATTAATATTGTAGATCAGAATTCTCAACAATTGCAAAGTACTTTTTATTTGAGATAACTACTTTACAAAAATCCAGGCTATTCCCCAATGCTGTCACCAATGCTGTGATAATCAACCATAAAAGACACCTAGGAATTTCAAGATACCAAGCACTGAATATAACTGCTGTCCTTTCTGCGTTGCCAGCCTAAGAGAAATGCTGATTTCTCTCTGGGTCCTCAGATATTTGCAGTGCAATTAGCAATGTGCTTTAAATATAAGTAGGTAACACCCCAGTATAGAGCTTTTGCATAACAGTGATGGGGGAGGGGGAAACTTTAGATATTCTCCTCAAATCTTCACTGCTTCGGCCATTATAGCTGAGAACCTGGAACCAACACCAAATTTCAAGCACAGTGTAGTTACGCTTTGGCTCTGTCAGCAACGACAAAAAAAGTTTCCTGACCTCCTTCCCTTACCGGAATGTTGTGCTTCTATTTCTTGGCCACTCCCCACTTCCCCCTGCCCCACTCCCCGCAGCCCTGCATTTCTTGGCATCGTTGAAGTTATATTTATTAAAACTGGGTTATTTCAGAGACCCAGCCCAGGCAGTGAGAGAGACGGGGATTTCCGAGGAGCCTGTCAGCAGCCACGGCACTATTCTCTAGTGACTCCACCTGGATAATCCAGGAACACGAGAGGATCCAAGTCATGCCCACGTATGCGCTGCCACAAACACTGTCATTTCTCCTCAACACTCAGGGAAATAAAGAGCAAAAAACAGAGTGGGGAAAAAATTTCTTATGCAAGTGGGATGCTCTTGTGCTAATGCTATCCTTTTCCGGGAAAGAATAAATCTCAAAATCATTTAAAACACCCGCTCATATTTTGCTCTGTGGGATATTGTTTTCCTCTACTGTAGCACTTGAATTTTTGTACGTGAGAAATCACCTGAGCACCACATCAGCATGGCTTCACTAGGCATATTCACAAAACACAAAAAATAAAGTAGCTCTTGTCACAACTTTTTGCACCTTGGCATTCTGTTTTTTATTTAAAAGCAAACAAAAGACCTTGAGATTACTTGGTCAAAATTGCATTTCTGCTTGATGTTTTGGGAACTGACTGCTTCAGGAGCTCATAAAATGAGATTTTTCTCATGGGGGGCTTCTGGCAAAAGCACTCAATAAATAAACATTTCAATAACAAAAGATGCCCTTTGGGGAATTCCTCACTGTTCATTATGTATTGGATGAGAACATTTAAACAAAACCAGTAATTATTTGACTGCAAAATATTTTTTAAAGACTTTTTAACAAGAGGTCAACCAGCCTGAAAAAAGGTTCCAAGATGTATAAAATGCACCCCTGACAGTTCCTAACCAGGAATTTTAAGCCGGGTAAATGAGACTGCTTTTCTGGGAGGCTGTCAAACCCTCTGAAGCCTGGCTAATATTAATGGCAATTGTCTTTACATGGCTCTAAGTACAGAGGCTCACTGAAGTGCACACGTTTGTTTATGACCTGATGAATTGCAAACAAACCATTCCCTCAGATGAAGGAGTTGCTGGGGCGGGGGAGGCAGAGGAATCCCTCCTGGCTGCTTACATCAGCCAGCACTCAGCCAGCTGGGGAGGGGAGAGCACTCGGACACGTAACTACAGTGTCCAGGCTAACCTAACCTACAGCTGAGACACACAGCTGCTGCGTCTGAGATTAAAAATGTTATATAGACGTGATTAAAACAACATTTTTTAGTCTATTCCCTCCCCAAAGCTGTATGCTACCACGATTACACCCATGCAAATTCGTAGTCGAGTCGCCTGACATAATGAACTTATACCCACCTAAGTAAGAGACTATTGGGAGTTTTAGAAGGCATCTGGTGTTATTACGATTGCAATCACACTAAGGACTTTTTTCTCATACTTTGTTAGGATGATTTTTGAATAAAGGTAAGCAGTCCTGGTTTCACAGCTAATAAACAGTGACTTCTCCCTACACAAAATGTAATATCTATAACAATAACCTGCTAAATTTATTACCCAAAATTTACTGACTAATTACCTGCTCTGTTGGCTGTCACAACTTCTGCTATTTTATTTTAAATTTCAGTAATGTTTCCTTCAGTTATAATAGGTTTTTTTTTTTTAACAAAGAAATTCAAAGCATATTGCAAATTGTCACCCTTATGTGCTGTTGTCTTTTATTCTGTTTACTAGAGATGAAATAATTACAGTGTTTATACCAAAATGACTTGAAGGTTGATTGCTGATTTAATAATATCCCCTCCCCTTGGATTTATATTTCCCATCTGAAGGTGGGAGGGTGCAACACACACAGAAACAAAGAATATTCTTTGTGTAAAATAGAAGTATTTCCTTTCATTAATTGTTTTATGACTAACAACATTCTTCTTATTTTTGCCTGTCAACAAATGAATGATCTGGGTAAACAGAGCTGGAGCATGATCAATATGGCAAGGTCCATATCACTTTCAAGCCGTAGGTTATAATTATATTTATGAATGACAGGATTTGAATCTCCATAAATTATGTACCAAGCTTTGCATGCCTATTCCTCTCCCTCGTGTGTGTGTACTTCAGTATTACAATATCACACCGAAGGTTTACTGTGAGATACAGTCACAGTCTATCATACCCCCTAGTGGAAAAGGATTTGAGAAACAAGTGCCAACATGGTTCTGTGTACTCTTGAAGATGAGACATAGGGCTGATGCCAGATGGAAATGAGTTGAGGTGGCAGTGCGTTTTTAAGAGATACAGGCAGAGTTCAATTTCTCAAGACTGGAGGAAGATGAGGAGATTGGGATTGGATATTTCCAACATGAAACATTCTCTTAATGACCCTATTTCATAAAACAGAGCTTGCCTTAATAAAGCTTAGATTTGAAATTAAAGTCACCACTTGTCTATATGTTCATTTCAAAATCCTTTAATCTCTGGAGGTTAAGAAAAGCAATTAGTAACGCTCCAGAGGACTGTGCAAAGCAAATTTTATAGCAGTGAAGGTAATTGTCTCAGGAAACATTTGGTGGGCTTGAACTAATGACTTGCAATGTGTACACATTTCTATTCTTTCTGTGTTTAG